CTTAATATCAAATTTGCAGCATTATTTATAACAGCAATACTTACAACCTCTAAAAACACAGAACATAAACACATACTTATATGTATTGATTTATAAAATGTACAATAAAATCAATAAAAGTGACATTTCGCTAGTGATTTGAATTCGTCTTGAACATCCCTATGATATTATGGAAAAAAATTGTATGGTGCTATTTAAAAAATTCAAGATTATTTTGATGTTTTTATTGAAAAAATTTGTTTTTATTTTTTTATCGCATATTGTAGCCAATATAAAACAAATGAATATTTAACTTTGTTTTTTAACTGTCGGATGTATCTGAAAAATCGTATATAAAATATTAGCTGCAATTGTGTATAAAATATTTACCTGAATAAATTTCTTTTTCGCCCATTTCAATTTGTCTATGTGTTTTTACTACATCAAAGGGAATAGTGAACAATGCTGCTGTCTACAATAATGTTTACATCTTAGCATATATCTTTTTGGAATATATAAAATATTGTAATTATATTTCTGAAATACATACAGATCCAGCTACAGCTCCTGCTACCAGATTAAAAGTAAAAGTTTGCTGTGAGCTATACAGTCTCTTTATAGTTTCATAATTTAACCAGTATATAGCACTAAAAGGAACGTCACGAAGAAGAGTTGAACCCAATCCCATCCACAAGCCAGAAATGCCACTATATCTCACAACTATTTTTAATGTCTGTGTTATTTCTGAAACACATAAAGCATATTTAAAATTGCCAAATTTTATTTTAAGCTTCTTTACATATCAATTTGATATTACATTAACTTATCCTACCTGCATAACTTAGTTTCTGTGATTGCATTTTTGTTCTTATCAACTCCAATGGACTCACCAGTGTTGCAGCCCAGATTCGTGCTGTGCCACCAGCTAATACAGGAATCCAGAAAGGTTGCTCCATATTTGTTCCCTTCTTTTTAAATTGTCTATTATATGTATCCTAACAACACACACACACACACACACACACATATTCATATATATATATATATATATTAGATGTTTTATCTAAAGTTCCTAGATCATATATTATATATAAATAAATTAAACCTAACAAATTATTACACACACAATGAAAATACTAATACCTTCAAATATAATCTTAATTGTTCATATGAAACAAAATAAATTACAGTTGCAGGTACAGCTAGAATAAGAGTAGGGCTTAAGCCACTCCATAATGATGCTATACCTTCTGTTTCACTTATTTTTAATAAAGCATCCTGAAAATAAGATTAACAAATGAGTAGACATTATTAATATTGTAAGATTTCTCTTTGTATATAATATAACTATGTATTCTATATACGTTGCTATACATTACATTTTAATATACAGAAGAGCAAGTAATTATATGAATCTTATCTTATACTTTTTGTTAAAATAAATTTTATTTTTTTGTATGCTTACATATAACAATGATTCAATATATCAAAAATTTTCAACTAAATAGATCTAATTCAGTCAGCATGTTCTTCATTTCTAACAAAATTTGACCTTACAATGCTTGATCAAGATTTATTTATAGGTTTTTATTTATCGATATGTATACTAAAAAATTTTTAGTAAATTTTGTCAATCTATAGAAAAAAATATAAAGGAGAAGAAAAAAAATTAATTTGTTATAATATGTAAGTAGTATAAAGAAAAGATTTATATGATATTCCATTTCAAATATAATTCATATGAAAACAGGGTATCAATCATGAAATTCTTTTCCTAGAATGAAAAGTAAAAAATTTCTCCATTAACTTCGACGGTTAAAATTTTTATTTTTCACTTTCCATCTTAGAGATAAAGTTTTATGATTAATACTCATATTAAATGTCACAATTATATAGTAATTACATACAAATGTTCCATTAAATTTTCCATTTCTTTTCATCCAGTCAGGCATTTTACCGTTGGTACATGGACATAAATGATCCATTAAACCATTGCAATATAAAAAACATTTATTTGAAAGCATTGCTTTCTGTTGTGTTTGAAGACGTATTTTTACCACATCCAATGGGGTCACTAGTAAAAACATCAGAAAAAAACAAATATTCAAAAAATTTACTTATAAAAAGTGCACAAGCAATCAAAGAGATTAAAACAAATATAATTTTTAAATTAAAACAAAAAATGTAAAAATATTACATTTAACTTCAAAGGAATATACAACATGAATAGACAACAGAATATAACGAGATCTTGTAATTTTCATAAGCTGGTACGATTTTAAAATAGCATATTTTAGAAATATCGGTAATATTCTAATCTTTTCCTAATACAGTATGTGCGCGCGCGCGTGCGTGTGGTGTGTGTATGTGTGTGTGTGTGTGTGTGTGTGTGTGTATTCAAAATAATCTAACATTTTTATAAAAATAATAATATAAATACATTACTAAGGAAATAAAACTCATAAATTATACAATTATTCAGTTATCATTATTGTTAACTTACCAAACACCGATGTAATAAATGCACCAGTGCAAGAAGCTACAATTTGTTGATAAGGTGTGATACGAAATCTTGGATCATCCAAGTCAACGTTCGACGACCCGTTGATTAATTTATTCATTGCAGAAAATAAGAGAGAGGTAATTTTACTTCAAAATCTACATCACACATATGATCCTATTTTTTACTCTGATAAGTCCTGGTTCTACAATGAGTCAGTAATTTGTAATCGGAAAACTTAACCAATCTTAACACTCTTATCAGACAGACCTGAGAGAGGCCATGCCGGCCTTTTTCCTGTTACCCATAACCCATGATGTCAAAAAGGTGAACCAATACGCATAATGGCGGAGGATCGAGATCTCGACCAATCAAAGATGGGGCAATTCGTCCGGCGCGAGTTACGAAGCTCATAAAATAAAATAAATTAAACATGAAAAACATAATAATAATATCACTGACAAGATACTATTAAAGACCGTCAACCCTGGGCAAATTTTCGGCAGTATAAAAAGGGCTCCAAGAAGGTAATTGAAACGCTGACATTATCGATAATTGATATAAATTTGCTATTATTAACATAAATATTTGGTTCATACATTATTAAATTCATGATTTTTTATTATATAAATGTTCCATCAATAAATATGTATACTTATATATAAAGCTATAATATCTTACACATTGCAGAAAAATTACATTTTTTTTCTCTGCAGTTATCATCTCTGTTGATAATGAAACTTTGAAGATAATACTAAAATCATAATTTTAAAGAAAAATCGAGTATTATTCAGTTCTAAATGCATAAATACGTCTACTAAATTAATAAATTATAAAATTAGTACAATACTATCAGTTTTTAACTCTTAAAATTACTTCAATATTCACAAGGATGCGAACTCTCGTAAGGATATCGGTCTTTAATAGTATCTTGTCGGTATATATTTATAAATAACATTATAATTCTTGAATTATTCTTCTTTTTTCTACATTTAAGAAAAAAAGGTTTACATATAAGGAAACTTGTAAAGAACCTGTTCAATAATACATTTTTATTTTCTCTTTGCCCTGACGACTCTTGCTTTTGCAATTGACGACATAGCACGTTGACATAATGCAATCGAAATTGTCTTCAAATGTATGTATGTACACACAAAATAACTCTTCTATCTTGTATATGACACCGACGAGATACTATTAAAGATTCTCAGCTCTTGGAAATTCGCGTGCCTGTTAAAATTTAAGTGATTAAGGGCCGGTTGTTCCATCTTTTGGTAAATTTTATTGGGTAAGCACAATTATCCAATCACATGCGTGGATTACCAGATTTACCTCACAGATAAAATTTACTTCCATCAATGTAATTTATTTCCACCAAAAGGTGGAACAACCGGCCCTAAGAGTAATAAATTAGTAATACGGTACTAATTTCATAATATATTAATTTTGTAGACATGTACATATGTTTAAAACTTAATAATACTCAATTTTTATTTAAAACTGTGATTTTAATTATATCAACCAAGTTTGATTATCAATAGAAATGATGACTAGGAGGAAAAAGTTGGTACTAAATCTTTCCTTACACATGGAAAGATTCATTACCAATTTCACGACGCGAAATAGATCGGTATTTATAGGGTGCGTTCCAAGTTTTGCATGAAGCGCATGATGCATCTTTGATTGCATCCTTGTTGGTCACTAAATAATAAAAAATGATAAAACGTACATCATGCGCTTCACGCGTAACTCGGAACGCACCCATAGTCGATTCTTACATTTAACGCCAGGTCTACAATAGAAGTCGTAGCAGTCGTAGAAAATTAACCAATCACAGTAGAATACGAGAAAAATACTCGATTAGAATTGGTCAGTTTCCTACGACTTAAGACTCCACTACCGCGTACGACTTTTATGTAGAGGAGCCTTTAACCCTCGGTTAAAGGTTGATTAGAGATTTACCGTAGAAATAAAAGCACGTTCTGATTTCTGAATACAGGTCGTATTTTTTATAGCCTGTCATTTTTAAATAAATAAATAAGCTAAAAAATATTATCTTATATATTATTCAATATATATTTTACACAACCTATTTTTATTAACTTTTTTAAAAATTTTACGTACGACGTTATTAAATTTTTATTAGAGCATATCTTTAATATTTAATTAATTTTTGAACGCATCCTGTGTTATTAATACGTTCATATGTATCTATAAATACGCAAGTTTAAAAACAATAACATCATTATGAACATTGTCGAACAAAGTGCGAGTGTGACAAATGTGTGACGATCATCAATAAAACCATTTGTACTTGGTAGGAAATGACCAAAATTCAAGACAAATCCGCGATATAGCTCGCGCAAACGTAAACGGTAGGCATATGCATTCACGTATCAAGTACACTCGTAAAAATATCAAATCAACAAATACTTAGGTGCGCGATCATAATAGAATTTGGCAGGATGTGATTATTGTGCGAACCATACACTCTTGGGAAGATGTCAAACGGTTGAAACTTGAAACAAGCCACTGTGCTCGTCGATTACTACTCATATTTCGTTTAAAGATATGTCGAGAACGTACTGTATTGGAGATTTTAGGTAAGATTACTTCATTTATAGTTTGGTTACGTCTCAACAGGTGCGAGTCAAAAAAATATCGATGCTGCATCGTGAAAATATTTTTCAATAGCGGCGCGAAGTCTAATTTATCATATGATCGAGTGCTTTTACGATATAGCAGTCAACAGCATGTACTTAATGCTTTTGTAATACTGAATGAACACAGCGAAAAATAAGATGTCACCATTTCGGAGGAAAAAGTCCGGGAGATCTTTTCCCGTCAAAGTTTGTACCTTAGATGCAGAACTCGAATTTAATCTAGAGGTTAGTAGACAAGTGTCACACAGTCTTACGTTGGATTGCTATTATGTATCTTGCACTGATGATATATCTCGCAAGCTGACAAATTTCCTGTGGCATAGTGGAGATCGACAGGCAGAGAATTATTTGATCTGGTGTGCCGTACAATAGGATTGAGAGAAACGTGGTATTTTGGACTTCAATACGAAGATGCAAAGGGCTTCATTTCTTGGTTAAAGTTAGACAAGAAAGGTGATTGTAATTTGTTGCCGTTTGTTCAGTATTCAGACTTTGGAACAGATATAATCTGGATACTTGTAATTAATTGTATATATTTACTGCAATGACACTAAACTAATTACAGTTCAAGATCAAGGCATTTCGCAACATCAAACAACATCATTCATGTTCTTAGCCAAATTTTATCCTGAGGATGTTGCTGAAGAACTAGTACAAGAAGTCACTCAACATCTGTTTTTTTTACAAGTGAAACAAGCTATACTGTCCATGGATATTTATTGTCCACCTGAGGCTTCTGTATTACTTGCTTCTTATGCTGTCCAAGCAAAGGTATCTTTTTGTAAACTAAACTATAAATGGTATTTATAGTTGATTCTTATATTTAGAATTAAGATTATTTTAAGTATAATAACTGACTATGAACACTGGTCTATACATTTGTTAA